ACAGCTGAGAAAAGAGGAATTAAGACAATGCCCCTGCGGGCCTGGCAAGGAGACAGAAAAATCATGGGGAATTCAATTTGTCAGGTGAGTCAAAGATGTGAAAACAAAAGAAAACAACCCCTCTTCCTCTCCTGCCCACCATCTTTTTTGATTAATTTAAACTTCACTTGTTGAAATGAGAAGCCAAGATTTCTGCTTTGCTACCAACAGCTTGCTGTCTATAGATACCAACTCATTATAGAGAGGCTGCCTGCTTTTATCCCTTAAACTAGGCAGCCAGAAAATGTTAGACTGAAGTACTGCTTGTTATAGATTGACAGCATTTAAAAACTAGATGGCCAAGCTACTGATATAATTTCCATACTCATTAACCATGAAATCTCCAGTTCTCCCCCACAGCATTCTGTCAGATTCAGCCGGACCAAGAACCTGTCTTAGCTGCCAGAAAGCATTTCTTTACTCCTCCACGGATTGGCATTGCCTGAATGTACTCTTACCCCTCAGAGCAGAAGTTTATAGAAATCTCTCTCACATTTCCCAGCTGTGCATCTTGCCTTCCCTACACACACACACACACACACAGAGTCTATTAGCTGTCCACAGCTATGCCTGTCTCACTGGCAAGCTGCCTGTTCTCAAGCTGCTCCAACAATTGCCCTTGAGCATAAGCCGGTGCCAAGTCCCCTCTCAGGAGTTCATGCTCCGTGCTAGCACTAACACGATTGTACTGGGTGGCTTTCCTCCGCACCCTGCCGACAGCGACGATGGACCCCAGGTTTGCTGATGGTAACAAGCTCCTGAGTATTTTCCAGGCTAATATTTGCCAGGTTGTATTGTCACAGCCGTCTCACAGACCAGCAGTCTGTCAATAGCAGAGTTGGGCTTACAAATGCAGTGTGACACAGGAATCTAGGACTCTTGTAGTTCTTGGTATGAAAGACCGTTTCACACATTATGTGGCACTGAAGAACAAGCACAGCCACAGAGGCAAAAGGTGCGGGCTGGGGTGGGCCAGGAAACCTTATGTGGGCATTTTGGAAGGGAAGAAGTTTAACTGGTAGATGTTAAAAGTGTGAGCGACAGCATTTCCAAATAACTTTTCTTACAAGAGGAGTAACTTTACCCACTAACAAATCCCGTCTGTGAACGGGAAGCAGCTTCCCAGGCTCTTGCACGCAGCCAGGGCGAATGCCGAAACGTCAGAGGGTGGGTCACCCCCAGTGCTTCATGGCTGAAGTACCATTTGCTTTGTAAGAAAAAAAAAAAAAACAAAAACAAAAACCAAAAAAAACAAATTGACCGAGAAAGGAAAAAAAAGGAAGAAAAATAACTCTGTACTGGCAGCCTAGAGTATTCACCTGTAAAAGGGCACAGCTAAATTCTTGTCCTGACACTGCAAGTGTATGATTATTGCTACCAAGCGTAACAGTGTCAACAGGGAAAAAAGTGTTCTCACCCACCTTGTATCTCTCAGGAGAACAAATCATGTCAGCCTGTACAGTCAGCATCGCCACAATGCATACGCCAAGCTATCAGGATGCCTGAGGTGAAGCTCTCGCTAGTGCTGTGTTGCCTCACAAGGCATGTTCCCTGGCATAAGAGAAACAATATATTACTGGCACATATCACGTACCATTGATAACTGCTGGCCATCCCACATACAGGCTCATCGTAGGTCAAATTACTTTTGCCGGTGTCAACGTACTCTGCTCATGTTTAACAGGAAATAGTAAAAAGATGCTTTGGTTTACATTTTAAAGCTGGAAGAGTGAAAAGACATGTACATCTTAAAAATTTAGCTTAAAATATGAAACTGGTCCAAATGCTTCAGATTGAAGCTGCTCAAAGGAACAAAGAAGCTGTCTTTCTGACAGACTCAGAACCCAGTCAGGAACAATGGGGCTTAGATTTAAAACACAACCCAGAACTGAGTTCTTGCAGTTCCTGGAAAATATGAGTACTGGACTGGTGCATTTTTTTATTCACTATTATTATCTCCCATAGACATTCATCCTGATCTTAACATCTTTATTGTCCACATAGAGCAAGTTTCCTCTCAAACAGAAATGAATGTTCCAGTAAATTTCCTTAGACAAAAACATAAAAATCAAACAAAAAAGACCCCTTCATAACTTTTTAAAAAACATACACTTCATGTTGTGATTCAAAGTGCTCTTTGTTTCAGTAAGTATAAATACTGAATTTTACAAAGAAAAAAAGCAAAAGTGAGAGAAAGAAAACTTCTGTCATACACAAGCTAAATAACAATTGCAGTCTTAGTTCCAGACTGATTACACTGCGAGGCAAATACTAGGTAAAGTCAGGGTGGTTATTTTGCCTCAAGGACAACAGATCTTTGTCCTGAATCCTGCAGTCAATACCTATAAATATTCTGAATGCTGTCATAAAACTTTGAAAAACCTCTTCATAAGGGACACAAATATAAGACCTTCTGCTTTAAAATTATAGCAGAGTTAAGTTAGAGCTACAATGCACTTCTTTGAAATGTCAGACAATCGTTTTGCATGCTATTCATCTGATGTAAAAGATCTTTTTGCCTGCATTAGTCTTAAATCCTTTTACCTGAACTTGTTGGCAACAGGGACAGGGAGACCGGTAGTATCTTAAAGTCCTCTGCATGCCACCCTCTACAAGGAAAGTTAGACCCTCTCCCAGAAAGACAGCGATGGCCAGAGCACGCATCAGGGCAAGGGCTACTGCCCCTGGCAGAGCAGGGAGCTCGGGCACCTCTGAGCCCTCCATGCCTCATCTCTAAATGAGGCTTAATAAATCAGCCCTCCTGCAAAAATGTTGTGTGACCTCTGGTGAGAGATGCAGTATAAATCCACATGAACATTTCCTTTTATTATCAGTAAATTCTCTTGGATTGGTTGAAATTGTTCCTGCCACTGATATCACTGATCTCTGAAGAGATAAACACAAGCTGATTGATGACTTGTCTGCAGGATCTATTTCAACCACCCCCAGGCAGGATATTTTCCATGTGGGTAATAATAAATCTTACTATTGAATGTCAAATGAAAGCAAATTATGGTAAAAATAGGCACAGTTATGTATTTCTTACTGTATAATATTAAGGAAGATTTTTCAAAGATTGGATGAGCTTTCATTTGCATGCATGACTTTTTTGTAATGTAATCCTTTTTCTTATTTTTAATATATATTTTTTTAAAGCCTTGTATAGTCGACCAATGTAAAGAGACTATCTCCTCAAAATAGCCTGTTGTAGAGTCAGGTCTGGAAGGTTTCTCATCACAACTGAGACTGAATAAGAACTACATCCATTCTCAACAGATACCAGGGCTCCCTTTTACTACCACATTTTACATGATATTTTCAGGTATCACTAGTACTATTTTATCCATTTTATTTGCAAAGGAAGCAAATGGCATCCTTTCTTGTCAGTTAATAGAAAAGGTTTGAGGGGAGAGCTGTCACTCACTCTTATTGCTCCCAATTCTTTTCTAAAAATGATTGTAGAGTTCCAGGGAAAAGTTCTACCTTCATAATGAGAACAGCATTGAAAATGCTCATGCCACATTATTTGTGCCAAGCTCAGAAATAAAGATCTAAGCAACTTTCTAGGACCTGTTACATACAGTAAAGACAATGATTTGCACCAGGGTGGCTGTACTGCAGAGGAAGGAAAATGTGTAAATCCAAATCTCACATTTAAGATGTAAGCATAAGAAAAAGAGCTGTGAAGACAAGATTACAGGTGGTCCACTTACCAAATGTTGTATTTCACGGTTGTATTATCTGCACAGTATCAAAAAAATCTTTGTCCTCAAATGCAATAAACCAGACAGACAAAATGTGGAGAAACGAGAAAAGGACTGGAGAGAAAAACTAATCTGAGGCAGCATTTTCCTGCTATCTCTGTCCTCAGTCTATGGAGGCCAGGGAGAATTTGGACTATAGAGCCTGGGGAGAAAAGTGACAGTTAAAGCAGCAACTTGTGGGAGAAGCAACAGCTTGGTAGATAGGCCCTGTGCAATCTCTTCTCTGGGCAAAATCTACTGCTCCATTCTGAGTGTAATTCGTGCAGAGCAAAGATGGGGAAAAGAGGAGAATAGAACAGAGGTGGGAGAGCTATGTAACTTGAAGGGAACTTACCAACTCCCTTAGGGACCAGATAAACTGTGGGATATGGCCAGCAGGACAAGTGGTTGTTTTTCAGAAAGACTGGGGAAAGTCCATGGAAGAAGAGACTGGTACTTCCAAAATGTGACACGACCGTGGATCTCATGAATGGAACAGCAATTCATTACATAGTCAATCTGCCGTTAATTTGGGAGTATAGAGCACACGATAAATACAATAAACAACAAAAACAAATCAGCCTGCAGAAGAGGATAGCAATTCTTGTGATTTCACTGGCCTTCAGGCTGCCATGAAAAATCTTCTTTTCCATAGTTGAAATGCGGCCTGTTTGATTTTGATAAGAACCTGAATACCCAAATCAAAATTTCCAGTCTTTCTTGTTGTAATTCAAACACTGCTTTAGCATCCAGGTGATTCCTAGCACCGTGGATATACATTGAGCTCCCTTGGAAAGGGACATTTTACTCCTTAAACTTTTTTGAGCCTACAGACTGTCATCAGAAGGATAACAGACTACATTAGGTGAGCTTTGAGTCCTGTTACTAAAGAAGAGCATCATGTGCTGTAGCTTGAAAGAAGGCACTAAATTAACCCGTAAGGCCGATTCTCCTCTGCCATTTAGTCATTAGCTTTGTGTACCTGAATCGTAAGAAGGAACCATCATGTAAAAAGCTCTTGGATGTAAAGCTGTCAACTCAAAACTGGCCACAGGAAAGATAAAAACACACCGTATGAAAGGGCAGAGAACAGGGCTGCTAAGTTCTTCTAGATAGCAAGACCGACTTCTATTTTTACATAGAAGTTTTGAATCAGCAAAGCATTAGTGTCTTCTAGGACTGGGCTCATCATGCATGCTCCTGGTGGGACAGGACTGAGGAAAGTTATCTTTCACCTTGAACTCGCTGGGAAACTTGCAGTGTGAACAAGATCTGGCCACGCTCAGTTCTCTCTGAGCAGCACAGCCAGAGATGAAAGCAGCTTTTAGATCTCTCTGATTTTGCTTGGACTCCCACATCTTGGAAAGCAAACTCCATACAAGCTTGCTCCTTCTCTGTCTGTCACCATTCACTCACCTCATACAAGTCCAGACAAAACCAGGCAAGTCCAGTACCCACAGCCCAGTCACAGCTGCTCTCTATGGCCACATGGGCATGGCCGTAGCTCTGTGATGTTACACAGTGTTAAATATCCAGGGATAACTGCAGACCAGAAAGCCTTCATGAGACTAGAGAGCCTCAGTGGGGTGGTCAGAAGCATCCTGGTATTGACACTCCTATTTTAGACAAGAGAAAGCTACTGAAAATCTTTGGCCCCACCCAATTAGACTTAAAACCTACCCCAGCCCTGAGCTTCCAGGCAAACCCAGCAAATGTTTCTGTTTCAACACATCTGACTAATGCAAGCCGTAAGGTTGTCTCTGCTACTAGCTTGTGGCTGAGAGACAGAGGCACTTTTCAGAAGCCTCCAGCATGAGATCTACAAGAAGGGGAGAAATAAAAGACTTTGGTTTATTAGTTTGTTATTCTCCAATCCCAGCTATTACAGGACAGGCGCTATGTTTATGATGGATTCATTCAGAGAACATTTTCTCCCTGCCCACATAACTGTGCTTCAGACTGAAGCCAAAGCTGTATGGGGGGTTATAAAAGCTGCAGACATTTTTCAGTACCGTATACCACTCAGTGCTTCAAAAGTGCATACAAGGAGATGAGCCAGCAATGAGAAGCTGGCTTGACCTGTAGGAAACTACATACAATTCCTCATTGTACCATAATGTTCTCCTCCAGCTTCGGCAAGCCCCGCATTGCAACATACAACTGTGAGAAGGGGGCAGAAAATTCAGAAGCGTTCACACAATCTGCCATTTACTCTTCCAACAAGCAACTTCTGTGTTCTTGGAAGGGTTTATTTTAGCCTCAGCCTGAATAAAATGTGGCGTTACACCCTGACCATTTCTGAGCAGCTCTCCAGCATCACTGACACATACCAGGTTTCCATGTGCCACTGTTGCCATTTCACCTGCAAGTTCATAGCAAATCGGCCTCATCTCTAATACACATCTATAGTCAAAATCACAGTGCCCACAGGGACCAATTTATTTTTCCATCACCTGTAGCTTCCTTCATTTTATGCAGGAAGGAGCTGGCAGCTTTTAACAAGGAGTGTTATGAATAGCGTGGTAACGCCTTTCTTCATCCCTGTTAAATTTCTCATTTCATCTTGTGAAGTCAAATCCTGGTTTCTGCAAAGTCCCTAAAACAACCTACATTGATTATAATTGGATCTGCAGTTGGACTGCACGTATTTTATCTCCAGTTTTGCAGATTCATTGCCTACTACTGCTGTCTTCCCACATTTAGATATTTATCCCACTGCCCTAGAGGTTGTTCTGGCAGCTGGAGGTTGTGACAGTCCTGACACAATACACAGGAGAGGTCCCTTCAGTACAAAAGTTACCTTTCACTCCTGTTTGACCATTAATTATGGCTTTTGCCTTGTTCCTGTATGCATATCTCCTCTGCTCCCCCATTAGGAGCTGAGCATTCGGACTACTGCCAAATTGCAGGGAAAAAGCATGGTGCACAATATACAATCCAGTATCTTTGGGTGGCTTGTGATTTGTATTCAGTGTTATAGGAGCCAGTAAAAACAAGCCAAAATATCATTTTATTACTTGGGTCAGACCATTTGCATGTAATTTGAAAGAACAGTAATTCTGAATGTGCAAGGTGAATTCACATCTAAAGGTGTACCATGTCTGGTGTGCAAGAAATAATGCAACAAAATAAAACTCAGTGGAAAATGGTGGGGCTTCACCTCAACAGGCAAACCTGCAAATTCCACTAAAATGAAGCAAGTCACAGCTGCTGAAGATCTAAGTATTCAGACATCTTTGTGAACCCTATGACAAATTTGGTCTGTTCTCTTCAACAGAAAACAAGAGCCAAGCAAGTTTCAGTGGTATGAATACCTCTCACGTTTCTGTTACTTACATTTATAATGACCAATGTGCCTTTCTGGGCTTCAGAAGGACAGATGCTACTGCCCAGCTTTGCACCCTTGGCACTCTACTGTTGATAAGTAACTGAGGTCACTTTACAGCTTAAACAATGCCATAATGGACCAGGACACTCTATACATGTTGCTTCACCATGCTGTACTGAAAACACAACTTTATAGAAAACCACACATTTGTTCCCCTGGATTTTATACTGATTTGTCACAAATGTATCACAACAGTGCTTCATACAGGTTTCTTATTGCTAATGCATCCCCTCATGGGATTATCTAAGTGCTCTTGGTACAAACCCTCTGATAAGCCCTGGAAGCAGCCAGCATCACATCTAGTGCTATCAGCAACACGTTATGAAAGGAATGCCATGGCTAAGCGCTGCCGAGTCACAAGACAAAAACCACCCTGGTGTTTACAGCAGGGTAGGAAATACCACATTAAAATAAAAGCATGACAAGGGGAGAGTGCACACTTTGGGGTGGAAAAAAATCCAAACCACCTCTAAGCTCCTGGTTCCTTTGTCATCAAGTCAGTACATTACAGAGAAGAAGTGAAAGGCTTTTTGTGAAGCTTTATCTTGGCCTTTAGCAGACAGAACTGACAACCCTGAAGTGGCAAAAACCACTTGCCAAGTGCCACGTTCAGCGAACAAAGGAACACAACACCATGCACTGAACAGCAAACTATCAGCTCCCAGGGGGAAGTGTCATTTTCACATCCAGTTTGCTACACCAGAGTGGGAGAGAAGCTCCAACTGTTTTGAATTCATGTGTCAAGTCAATCACAGGAACAGATAATATTGGAGTTATATAAAATTTCGGAAGGAACCTCCACCCACCACCTGTAACACTCACTCGCCACTGTCAGAACAGCTCTGTAACTGAAGACAGCACTGAAGTGAAGTCGTCCTCACAGCTTTCTGCAAAGCAGATGATGGGATCATTACAATTTATTTTACATATGAACTGAGGCACAGAAAAAGTGTTTATTTTTGTTCCTATCAGAACAGTATCTAAAAGGCTGCACTGGACTCTAACTGTAAGTGCTAGTTCCTTGGTTTAAAAAAATTTGCATCTGATCCTAGAAACTTGCATTTTTAACAGACTCAGCAGGATCTGCATGGAAGGAAGGAAGGAAATACTAGCAGTCTGCCCCACAGATTGCTTCAGCCTTTTTTGCTGCAAGGCCTTGCTGTCCCACTTAGGGAAATCAAACCAGATCTGTTTAGTTTTCTCCAACTCCCTTAAACAAGACCCTCCAAACTGAGTGATTTTTGTGCGTGTACAGATAGTATTGGTGTCAGAGCTGGAAAGTGAGAAGCCAAAAGCTATGTTTGGGGTCTAAGGACCAGCAGCCTCCGTATCAGCAGCCAGAGGTGGTCTCAGACCTTCTGCTGGGTGCTGTACCATAACAAGTGTATTCTTGCCCACACCTAATCCATCCAAACAGCATTAAGAAGAGCTTGGGCGTGCACTGAGGAGCTGAGTCTCTCCAACTTTTCTCCCCCTGAGCATTAGGAGCTTGTACTGGGGTAATTTCTGAGCCCAGGCAGAAGAGCTTAATGTGAATGGTACCTAAAAGCATTCTTGAGATCAGGCTCAGACCCATGGTCAGTGGAGAAACTCAGGGCTTCCTGATGCTTTAAGTCGCACCCCTCGATCTTCCCAACAGCCCTCCTGTCCTCCTTCGTACACATTCAGTGCTAAAATCCATGGACTCGAGTTTTACACTGCTGTGTCGCAGTACACCGAGGAGGAGTATCACCTGCCCTGATTTCCCCATCTACCATTACCCAAATTAAAGCTATGCCAGCCCTATCCTCTTTCATAACCACTGTGTGAGAGCAAAAGGAGAAAACCACAAGGGGAACAGATGCTGTGGTTTGAAGAAAAAGAGAGAGAGAAAAAGAAAAAGATATCATTGCTCTCTGAAAGCATCCAGAAATGTTTCTATTCAATTCATTCAGGCCTACACAAGATCAGGGAGAGCACAGGACTACTGTGAGGAAAATCTAGGTCACATATGATCACAGCAGCACAGCTGCCATCATCTCAATGGCCATGTGAAGCAAGGACTGCAGCAAGGACCTCTGCTGAAGAGGGCTTTTTTTTTTTTTTCAGTCCAGTTTTACAATTTCCCTTCATTAAGGTGTATTTTCCGGCAGGGCTGTGAGTACATTGGGTCTTCAATTGGGGTGAAGGATTTAGCTATAAATCCCAAAGATGATTCAGTAAGTGGAATTTCTGTAGGATCGTTTAAATAGTTTATAGGCTGCCAGGCAGGATTTTAACCTTCTAACAGTGACAGGAACAGTGTTACTTCCCTGCTCTTTTGAATGCCAACACATTTCTTAGTTCTCTTTGTTTCCTATCTGTTGTGGAAAGATACACATTGCTCCCATTTTCATTAAGGAAACAGGAATCTTATGCTATTTTAATACACCTGTGAAAACTTCTTGAAATTCTCTCATTCATTGCTCTCTTTTTGTTAAATACACAGGTCAGACCCTATGGTCCCTTCCCCTGCTTCAAACAGAAAAGCTAAAATAAATACACGTGCGCACACACACACTTAAAAAAAAAAAAAATAAAAAAAGGAAAAGAAAGAACAATGCAGCCCCAAACCATTATCTTTTTCCTTTATATTTAAACAGACCCTCCATCACCCTCCCTTCTCCCCTTTTCTACACCTGAATAAAACCAGGAAGGATCTAAAGCCCAAATACCAAACACTCCTGCAATTCAGAAGATTAGAGGGAAAGGACAAATGTTCATGGGTGCCATGAAGTTAAGCCAAGCATCTTGGAGCAGCATTCATTAAGGAGCTCTGCCAAAACTCCTCGCGCAGGCAGCTGGAGCAGGAGCAGCTGGGGAGCAGGAGGAAGTGATACACAGCACAAGTCAGGAAAATAACGCACAGAGGGATCCTTTCGGTGGAAGCGAGCATGTTACAGATAAAGCATTAATAAGGATTTGTTCCCCAAAGCAAGCAGCCCAGACAGCAGAGCAACAGGAAATCAAATCACCTAACTGCAAAGCGACTGACTCACGCCTATTGTTAGAAAACCTTGAGAGACAAATGGCCAGGCCTCAGCCTGATGCTGCTGCAGCCCTGGGACCAGTACAACTGTTCCAAGCTTAGGGGAAGAGCGGTGACACTTGGGGCGTAGGGCAAGGACTCCCTTGAGTCATGGCTGCTAATTATATACCTTCGTATGTGTTGAAAAGACAGACATTTTAATGCATGGCAGTTACAAGAGCTTATCTCAGTACCGTAGGTAATACGCCCGTTATCAGGGACTAGAAGTAGTAAGGTCCCTGCTAAAACATTAAAAAAATCTGATCCTGGCCTGAGATCTTGTGTGCTAGCTAACTCTGTCAGCACAGCCCCTCTGCCCTGGGTCAATCTCCTCTTGTGGAAATTTAGGGGGCGGGGGGGAGGGAGGGGGAATTCCAGTGATCCTTCGGCGACAGCACTGGCCTCTCTGGGATCTGGGGGGACAGGATGAAACGAACTGTTAATCGGTTCCAGTGATTCTTACGCTCAGATTTTGCAAGTAACTGAGGAGTGCTGTGCCAGTGCGTTAGCTGGTTTGAATTCAGAATTCTAATCAGATGAACTAAGTAACTTTCAATCTAATTAGGAGAAGAGTAGGGTTTGTTCTTAATCCACAACCATTTAATCTTCCGACTCATTAGTTGTGCATAGGCTCTATGAATATGGATATCTGGAAGGAAAAAAAATTCTTTGACCTTGATGAGAATGATAACACACATATAAAGTAGGTGTGCACTCACCTTTCATCACACTCGCTTTATTATGTAGATTCAACAATTCCTCTTGCTCTGAATCAGGCTATCGAGAGTTATAGGCAATCCTGCAGCCAATTAGGCATCAGAGTCCTGATGAACCATGGAACCTGTAATGATTAGCACAGTGTTTACAGGCAAGCTGCCACCTACCAATTTGCATGCAAATAAAAATGTATCTGTTTTAGAAGGCTGTGCTAAGCAGTATAACTAGCACACCAACAACTGGGTTGAGGAAGAAAAGAAATACATTCCAGGACAACAATTTTTGGAATAATTTAATTTTACATAAAAAAAGAATCGGCCACACTATTTCTAGTGCAGAATTAAGATATCAACTATCAGGAATATTTCCTCAGTTTATGAAATTATTTAATACCCCTAAGAAAAATAAATTAATGGGCAAATTCTCTGATTTTCTTCTGATTTCCTGATTTATGCTTTATTTCTCTTTTTATTGAAATTAATGGGGGACTGCCTTTGACTGCAATAGAAGTAGGATTGCAGAAACCATGTCTTCTGTAGGTGTTTTTGCTTCTCTTGCATTCATCTCCCAAAATTGAACTTCAGACCTGTCCACACTTTCTACAATGATAGTTGCATAATTTCTACTTGATGCATTTTGGGCACTACACCTGGAAAATATTTCAATACAAATCATTTGTGTAGCACAGACAGTGGTTTAGGCTAGAGACAACCCTAAAGATTAGGGGCTAGGAAAAAATCTGACTCAAGTATCTTAAGTAGGACTGTTGTGTAGCTGTTGCTGAAAATCTCCCTCTGGGAGCCGTAATAAAGCTGGGGAGGGATCAGAGAAAAGCTCACTCCTGTTCCCTTGCTCACTTGAGTTTTCTTCCTAGAGGAGACCAAGCTGTTCCATCAGAGTGGTCCAGAGGCAGAAAATGGGGAAAACTAAAATACACAGCAAGTCAAGGGATCCTAAAGCCCAGTCAGACAAGAAAGATCCCAGGAAGAACCGTGTCAGGGACTGCAACACTCCCTGTTGCTTGTAACAGCTGTGAGGATGAGAAGAAAAATGTGGATCTCTGCTATGTGATTGTTCAGGCAAAATCCAGCTAAAATGGAGAGTGCAAGGCAAAGAAGTCAGATGACACTGTAGACTGATAGATGGACGAAAACCAAGGGCTTTATTTACTTTTGTTTTCTCCGCCAGTTCAGCCATTCTGTTTCTAGCCATTTTCTGGCTCCATTGTTGCTTATTTAAAAAGCCTCCATGGACCAAAAATTCAACATACATCCTCAGCTTGTTACATGAGACACTGCAGAAGTGACTTCTTCCCTCAGCAGCAAAGCAAATGCCAGCAGGGAAGAGGGCTCTCTCACTGCAGAGACAGTGTTGCCCTTAAGTGAACCAGCATCTACACGTGCAAAGCCTTCACCCCAAGTGGGGAAGACCTTTTAACTTGACTCTGCCAGTATCAAGGGGATTAAGGGTACTATTTAACTTCGTCCAACTTCTCAGCTAACAGTATCCTTGCACGCACCTCCACTGCTCTTTTGCAGAACTGGGCAAGTTCACTTGAGCCAACTCTTAAGGCTTTTACCTTTAAAGCCAACGTAGATAAAAAGTTTAACAAGACATGGAGATGCAACCTAAAGCTGCCTCTCTAAAATAACAGGCTCCAGCTGCACAAGGGAACAGTAATAGCCAGTGCCCTACGAGGTCCAGTGCTGGCCCCTTGAGCTTGACCTGTCACGTCCTCAACAGAGCAGGATTTGTCCACCTAGCAGCATCCCAAAACCCCAAGTTTTGTAGAGAAGTTGCTCACAAACATCATCTGTTTCCAAAGGATGGTTTGTTCTGGGGTGAAATGAAGTAAGTCCAGTTGTTGCGTTTCTTTTTCCCTGTGGAGCAGGTTCAAGCCAAAGAAATTTAACCGCTACTCAGCTGTTTTCTGCTGACATTGCTTGCATTCCTCTCTCTTCTCAAATAACATTTGGAACTCCCTGCCAGATAGTGCAATTTGATATATGCCCTGATGATAGAGGGTGGAGGGGAGGAAAGTACATTGGCTAATATTTTTCCATTACAAATCTAAACGGCACAATCTACAGTTTAATCTGCAATAAAAACAGCAATTTCTGAAGGCTGGGTTAGTGACTCTGGGCCAACACTTGTACCTGAAACCTTTACACACAGATTACTTTTAAGATGTTGTGATAAAATTACTACCAATAGTATTTTCAAGCTACAGCTTTTGAAACCACCCAAAGAATTTTAAGGCCCAGACACTTGGATCTCAAGACAAGATTTGATTCTGCGCAGAGTTGTTCAGCAGGCACCCAAACACAGTACCAACATCCTTATTCAACCCCAATGAGATTTTCCTTCCCAGGTACCTCTAAGATCCTTCAGTTTTGAAAAGGATGGTTTGCCTTTCATGAACCCAAGTCTCAGTGTTTGCCACCAACAGAGGAAAAAGCCAGCATTTACCACACAAGGGTTTTCCTATACTAATGGCAGCAAATACCACAAATACCAGGATGAAATAAAAATCCACAGCCCCTCCAAATGCCACATGAATTAGCAAGGTAAGGGCTTAGAATTTCTGGTATTTAGATGTCAATGCTCCTCTATGTGTTTGGAAATTCAAGGGTTTATTACTGCCTCTTATCTGCAAATATAAATTTGCTTATTTTTGCCTCTTGATCACAACAGCAGCGCTCTCAGAATTACTGTATTTCAAACATATGCAACAGGGATGATCATGTCAGGAAAAGAAGAAAACACTGTTTTGGCTGTGCCCCTGCTCTGCAAGAGAGAAAAAAAAAAAAAAAAGTCCTTTCCTTTCTGCTGGGACTGAACCATGCTGGGATACTTGGCTCCATTTATTTTACCATCTCCCTGCGCTTCTCTCCCAGGGTTGGGAGAACTGAAACATGATGAGAAATTTTACTCTGCTGTCAGCTGGCCCGAGGACAAGGAGAACAGATCTCTCTGAGGGAAGACAGTTCCCAAGGGGCTCACAACTAAGAAGTATTTCAGCTGCCCTGCTGTAAAAGCGTCTCTCCCCATAAGCACGGCCGTGGCTACTGGACGTGCAGCTGGAGCACAGCCCCTGTGAGCTGCACAGGCAAGGGACAGACCGAGCAAGGACAGGCTCCTAGATGGACAGACAGCCCCTTTCATTCCTCACACCCATGTATTGGTGACTGTTTGTCTAGCTGTATGGAGTCTGAACCCTTGTACAGGCACCGAAAGCATAAATGTCCTCAGGCTAAACAAAACCTAGTAAATCTTAGACCGCAGCAAGTTTCTACTTTTTACATTAATTTCATATTTATCACCTAATGTAAATTATACTATCACCAATCTAATTTATTCTGTGATCACCTCTCACTCAGGGTGTCCAGGGGCCAAATATCACTGGAGCGTGACAGAATGTGCCAGCAATGAGTCCTGGGTCCACCCTGTTCCTTTACAGGTCCCTCAGGGCTCCTACTCACACTGCCAGAGACTGCTGGGCTAACCTGATACAGACATTGCTTCATTCCAAGCAGTCACTAAAACATCTCTTTGTAAGGGATTTCCAGAGTATATTTATCCTGAGGTATTCTCCAGTCCTTCACCCCTACAGGGACATGCTTCGGGACAGACAGCCAATATTCAGTTCTCTCTATGCCTTACAGACAGGAGGCAAGCTAGTTGGCTTGGGGCTTCTATGAATAAATCAGCTTTTAAAAAGGATGAAAGAAAAATATGACAGAATTTGGTCCTTCTCATTCAAAAGACCTTGTCTAGCAGCAGAGGGAGTGAGTAGGGCAGATTCACCTTCAACATGATAATCTCTTGCTAGCTCTCCTTACAGCATTCCCAGCTTCTGCCCTTCACTGGATGCTGAGCATGAATGTGGGAATGAATCACTGCTGATCTTGGCAAAATACCAGTTTCCCTCCCTTTGCTTCAGCTTGGAATAATCCCAATTTTCCAAATGGCTTCAGTGAATCCAGGATTTAAACTCAGCTATTAAAAAGTAGCGGGAACCCATAAATCACATGCTTTATATCAGCGAGCTCTTTGATGCATTTAAAACAATTACTGGGAAATATATGATCTTCCTAAAAATAAATATTTACGTGAACACCAGGAGAGAAACTACTGTCAAAACATAATACATGGACAATCTAATCTCCACCCCTCAGCTCCACAGGCAGGCACGGGGACTGTCGTCTTTACTCTCTTTTGCTGCTCACAGCTGTATTAGAATTGATAATATGCTGAAATGACACATGCTTACGATGATGCTAGAGCAGGATAAAAATTATGCAGTAAATTAATGTATGCCTGCTTTCAAGTCCAAGAGGGTGGAGATTACCAGCCCATGGGAGGTCATTTTTTCACCCATTATATTGCTCACAAAATGGCTTGTAATTACAAACATTTACACCAGGTTTCTATCAATGGTGACATTTAATTCCTGCCACTGATACAGACATAGGAGTGCCAGGAACAGACAGAAAGAGCTAATCTTGAAACAGGTCAAAAAAGAAAGCAGATGAATTTATTCTGCCATCCACATCTTGCTAGAAATTTTCAGCAGCAAAACCTTTCCAGCCTGCAACTGACAATGTTGCTCTCTCATGGGAATATACAGTTTTCAGCTTCTGCTGGTGTTGTTTTCAGGTTTCCACTATTGCTATTGGTAGGTCACTAGAGCATGACGGAGTTTGTGTAGCACACAGATGTGGTTCCCGTAACGGCGTAAGCGGGAGTTGCCATCTCTGCTGCACATGTGGTGACAAAATATGACTTGTATTATTTTTAGAGGAGAGAACAGGCTTTAAAACCAGTGTATCACATATGCCCTACTGAATAGGTTAGGGCAGACCTACCACCTGACCGGAGTTAGGAGAGAGGAGGAAACCACACACCAGAAGTACATTAGCTCCAGGTCACAGGAAGCACCTGTGCTGCTGTGGCACCAGATGCCTACTCCATAACATATCTGCAATGGCAACAGAAACATGTAACCTCTCTGCTGTCACCAATTCTTTTGCAGTGAGACAGAACCAACACCCAACTTCCACCACTGAGGCAATTCACGTTATTAAACTCAACAGACTTGCAGCTCAGCCATGAACGCTCTGAAAACCAACCCTTTAGCAGCGGTGTGTGATGCAGCAGAGCTGGTCAGGTGAACCTGTCGAGCAAATCCACGCTGTCCTCTGGATCCTTCAGTGTGCAAATCCATGCAAAATAAATACGCTGCCTCATGGATGCTGTGAACACTGAGACACTCCAGCCTGCGTGGAAAGCTTTTTCCACAATGGTTAGAGCAGGCTGAAACAGAAAGAGGGAGCTCTTCCACTGTCCCCTGCAGAAACCCGAAGAGAAGGACATTCCTGAGTTTTGTCCTCCCCTTCCCAATCTCTTGTCTTTGTTCTCACAGCTCCAGATCCCTTCACCTTCTTTTGTTACTACTTCCATCACCCCTTCCCCAAGAAAGGGCACATGGATCATGAGCTCACAGGGCTGGAATCCGGCAATTTGTACTTCTCAGCCTCCCTTATCTCACCTTCCCAAGGGTGCACTTGTTCTATGGTCCTGGCAAGAAGCTACCAGGGAAAACACGCACGGAGTTAACCTGGTGGGGGGCATCCAGCTCCAAATAAACACAAAGCTGGGATGTCAGATTCACTGCATGGAGCACTGAAAACCTTGCGGTTTGGTTTCCCTATGCATCTAACTTTGGACTACGCGCTCTGTCTGCGCAAGATTAGTGTTATTGGTACAATCCACTTAAGAAATCTCTGAAAAAGATTAGGCCACTGCAGCATGATGAGGGAAGATGTCTTGATTTAAGAACACAGACATTACTAGAAAGGGAAAAAAAAAATAAAAGGGTCCCTTACTGTTCTGACATATCAAAAGGAGACTAATGAACCACCAGTTCATAGAACGACCCTGCTCATCATTTCAGAGCCAGGCTGGCCTTTTGTGTTAAGGACACTGAATAACAAGAGCAAGAACAAACAGAAGGAACCCTTTCCCCCTGCCCAAAGTAAATTTTGATATGAAATAATTTAAAAACTACACCCTTCTGCCCTACTTTAAGGTCCACAGATGAAAAGTTTTGTTCCATTGGAAAAACTGAATCAAGGCTTTTGATCCTCAAAGATCTCTTAATCGCTTTGCACATCAGTTCTTTTCATTATTTCAAACATACTTGAAGACAGCTACTTTTCTCTCTCTTTTTTCTTTTCTTTTTTTTTTTTTTTCTTTTATTTTTTTTTTTTAGAAAAAACTTTTCTGTGTTTGGGCCATTTCCCAGCCAACTCTGGCAGTACGGCAGACAGCTGTTTGTTCTTTACTCACTGTAAGTTTCAACATATATACACATTGATCTGAATTAGTAAAGTCTAAAAAAGCATGATCCTTGCCACCAATTGTGCTAGCTCACAATATCCACCTCTTCAACCTTCTCGTGTTTAAGAAAAGTTCCAAGGAAGATTATATGTTTCTGGTTAAAAAAAGAAAGTAGTTGTTGGGGTGATTGTTGTGGGTTTTTTAAAAAGCTTGACTCAGAATTGGAATCTCTGTCACATCAAACTGAATTTAAATCAAGATTTCTCCAAAATTTCATGTCTCTGCAATTCCAGTAAGTCAAATCCAGCACCAAATCACCAATTCTTAAACAAAATGGGAAAGAACTTGCAATAACGCTGGCCATCTTGGCATCCCTGTGAGATCATCCCTCACTTTATTTATTTATTTATTTATTTATTAAAGTCTCGGTCTTGGTTTTTCACTCACTGACCGATTGAAAGGGCAGAGACGTTTTCTGAAATGAAGACCGTTCTTTGTCTGTGCAAGACTTTGCACCAAGCAGGCTCCCAAAAATTATAATACAAATTATAGACAGGAGCAATGGGAGGTGGAGTCAGAGTTAGCTGGCTCACAAGCCATCAAGGGGGATGGATAACATCAAAACCAAACTCCACCTGGAAAGCTGCATGTAGGCAGCAGAGCAGAGCAACAGTTTAATGTGTTCAGAGCCTGAGGCATTGTTTAGCAAGTGGGTGGATGCTTTTTGAGCCAGCTCCATCTATCCAAATGGTGTCAAAGCCATTGTAAACTGCCTTGTTAAATTCTGGTCACAAAGCAATCCAGAGCTGAGGAGGGCCAGCAACAGAAGACTTCTGGCTGCATCAACACAGAACAGGCGTATGGCTTGTCGTGCTCTAAGATGTAGGTAATAGCTGAGCGCTGCTCTGCAGACAACCTTTCTCATTCCATCCAGTCAACCTGAGACTGAGACCCTACAACCAGCCTGAGACCCTACGGCAGTTTGAGAGGACACTGTCTCCACGTGATCTGGGCTAACCATCAGTCAGACTCATCCATGTTTCACTGTCATTAACAAGAGGAACGACAGTCTTTCTGGCAGGCATCAAAAGATCTGACAAACTTCTGTCCCCTGCATGTAGCTGCTAAACAGTCCAACCTCCCTGAGCCTCCTCTCTTTTTCCTGCATTTATCCCCTAAAGGCAGGGGAAGATTCTGTCTGTAAATAAATACAGTACCTAGCACTACACTGTACTGATACTCGGGCTTTCAGATTCAGCCACAGTAAAACAACATTTAGATCCTGGTCATTTATTCCACTGTACCAGATGAGTCAGATGAAACACAGCTGAGACCACACCAGCCATCACTGCCCCGCAAACCACTCCATCAGCATTGAACAGAGATGAAAAAAAACAGATCCCCATCTGACAACTGTCCTCCCTGCAGGCTTGTGGGTATCTCGCAGGCAAAGAGCGGTCCCCAACACTGAGCCCACACAGACCTCACAGAGACTGTACACACCCACACAGCAAAAGGAGAAAGCAGACCTGGGAAGATGAGCTTTCTCCTCATCAATTTTTAGGAGCAAACCACTGCCCAGCATAACAAGCATGTTTTCCAGTGTTCACCACAGCACAAAGCTTGACAAGAGAGGACTAAAAGGAAACCAGGGATCCTAGCCACCTTCTGACTAGCTTTCCATAACAGGAATGCCAGATACGGGTTGGCAGCTAGTGTGTGGCAAGAGAGAGCTGCTCCTAAGAGCTCCCCGAGGACACGGCTTCCTCACCTCCACAGTCATGGGGGTTACTCGCTGTAGGTGGCTGCCATTTTGCAACACCTTCCTGCACCTCAGTCCCATATATGCCACAAAACACAGCCGAGTTTTGCACTTCACATTGATTTCTATGGATTGCACCTACTAGTGACTTGCTGCTTGCAGAGTAAGTACCATCTCAGCCCTTCCCAGTGCACACTGTAACATTAAACCTTATTTTACTTGGCAGCTAGAGCTCACTTTTCAAGCAGCTGTGAGAAAAAGACCCCTCAGCTGATGCAAATAAACAAGGTTTTATTTTTAATTTGTAAATTAAATCAAACAACTTGTGTTTCAGGCTGTGCAGTCCACATCCATCTCAGTAAAACCCCACAGAACAAAGGAGACCTTCTGGCCTCTCCAATGCTCTAACGAGATGCCTGGTTTCTACCCTTAGTATTGCACATCAATAAGGATGGAAAACTTCAGAAGCATCTCTGACTCCTTTTTGCACACCCCCCCATGAAATTTGAGGCCAGCTGTGCCGACTATCATTTCCACTGAAATAAAAGTCTACCTGGAGGTGGAAATTAAACCTAGAACATAGGTTTAGCCTACAGAGAACTGAAGCTAGAATACATCTGACTAGTTTTTGGTCCATAGTCTTATCTCTCATGATGAGGGCAGGCTTGTAAAGACCACATTTGGGAGCTAACTCACAGCAACAGCAGTTTGCTGTTTACCCATGAATAGCAGGTCTCAATACCCTAGCTAGCCTAACTGCTGATGGCATTGGTCTTACTCCTAATGAACTTAAAGCCACTGAAGCCCAGCACTAAAATGCAAGTTTGTGATGACCTCACCTAGAATGGGTTATTGGAAACACTTGAGGAATGATGGATAGACTGATGAAGTGTCTGCAAGCCTGGCGTCACTGAGTTGCCACTTCACATACAGCCACAATAATAGGAGCAGTAGCAGCAGATGGAGGAGGATTGTTCAAATGGCAGAGCTGGTCCTTCCTTTGGAGACATATGGCTCTAGCAACAGATGAAAACAACCAGTGAGGAGGTTTCAGGAGAGCAGTCCTGGAACACATGTGAGAAACAAATGCAAAGCTGAGCAGTGGCTCTGTAGCTTTTGTTGTTCCTGGCATGGCACTACGTTAGATACAGAGGTTCTTTTTCAAGTAGAACCAAGTTTAAATGAAACACCTGACGAGCAAATACTTCAAACTACATCCACAAGATAGAGGAAATAGCCGAAAGCCCGGGTCCTACAGTCTCTAGCATGCTACAGGTCTCTGCCACAAAGTAAATGCCAAAAAGTGAAGATGCACCAAATATGCACACAAAGCTGCCAATCTAGATGTGTCTACACATGCTGCTGTACTATAGAAAGATGCCAAGAGCAGAGGTTTTTGAGTTAGAAAGGCATGCAGGCAGGCAGTGAAAGAACTTTACATTTGTGCTAAGTTCTCTTAGCATATAAACTGCACATATTGTGCATATATACACACACTATATATTTCAATATAAATATATATATATAAGCACACACACAAACATAGACTAGTATAGGCACAAGAACCTGGACTCAGGAGCACTTGCCTCAGCTTATGTCCCTCCCATAGGCTTTATGTAAAGTTTTAGGAAAACTAGTGCCCATTTCTTCCTTTGGGTTGAGTTGTTACATTTATGAACCCAAAATGGTAATTCTTCACCTGTTTCTGGTTAGAATCCACTTGCATCAGCATCTGTATCAATGGAGCAGTTCAGACCACTAATTTATCTGTAAGCTAAATATTGCTACTAGCGCTGCTGGAGAATTGCAAGGAGGTTGACATTCTACAGTTGCTATTTGATATAATATTGGATTACTGTGACTGGGGGAAGAAGAGAAAATCATATTGCAAATTCACAAGCTTAGGATATCGTATTCTGAAGCCGATCTGTGCAACTGGATGGATTGAAAACTCTACTTTGCTGTGGAGTTTGGAGATATGAGGCCGGAGTTTTCATTAGTCCCTCCCACAAATGCTTTAACACAGCAGAAGATTGTTTCCAGTACCTCTGCCCACCAGCTTTTCCCAATTCAGCCCATTGCTTGTGGGAGATTTGTGCAAGAAGCCAATCTGCTATTCTAATGGAACTCAAAGCCAACTCCTTCAGTGAACAAAACAGTCAGAGCAAATTTCGTATCTGCTTTCCCAAGGTCCCTTCTCTCAAACAAATAAACAAAAAAAAAAAAAGTTTGTTTTTATAGAGCTTGGGTTAAAAAGCCAGTCTTGGAAATGTACTGAGTGGAGCAATCCTCCAGCACCACCCAAAACCAGCCAGCAAATGAAAGCTCGCCAAGGCTGTTAATTTGACGGCTGGGGGGGAAACGAAACCTATTGCTACCATCTGCACAAAGGAAACAGAGGCAAAGCAAAACCCTGCTGTGTGAGCAGAAAGAAAGGTTCAGCATAGCAGAGACAACACAAACCATATGAGACACTTGTTAAACTCTCTTCCAGCTTTTTTCTCCACCACTAAATGCTGCAGGACAATGATCAATCTATTCAATAGAAGCTTAAAACAAGACCCTCAGGACTGTCAGTGGTGCAGGTCTCTGTTTTCTTACAGATTCTGGCACATTAAGGCCCCGATCCCTGGTAAATCTTTAAGACAACATGAATAGTTTGCATACTCTGAGCCTCACAGATGGTTTGCATCTAAAAGACCTTATGCAGACTGCAGTGGTCATGAAACCCATCCTCATGGCTAGAATTTGGGATGCATCACATTTTTACTGCTGTTTGTACTGCTCAGTTTGTGAACCAGAATAAATAAATGATCTTTCAATAAATAAAGGCAGTTTAAAAAGAGCTTGATCTACTGTGAGCCCTTTATTTTACCCCAAAGGCAACTGTGGCTAGTGTGTGCTATTTCACAGGTGAAGAAAACACCTCTCTCAGTAATTCTGCTGCTACAGTGGGGGTTAATCAGCAATCAGCTCTATCTACAGGGCTGGCCTCTACAGCTGCACCAACATCTCAGGCTGGAAAGCTGGCAAGAATACCTTGGTAGTGCACCAGGAGGCTCTGGGAATTTCATTACATTTTCCACTCACCCAGTGTGTCTCCGGAAGGCCATCTACGGAAGAGAACAGAACTAGCGTGTTGCCGCCCAACCCTCTGGAGTTTCTCCTTTCACACCCACTGCCAAAGCACAAACACCCTCACCCTAGGCCAGATTCTGATCTTTGTACCAGCAAAAACCAAAATGCAGTGCTATCAGCTACAGGCTCTTGCTGTGACATCTACTGACCAGCCATTCGGAGGGGGCAAGCCCTTCCTCCCACCTCCTGCAGGGCTGAGCACCTATTCTCCCTTGCCTCAAACTGAAGTTAAGTGAAAAAAGCCACCCCTGTGCTGTCCATGGAGCAGCATGGCTGGCATCCCCCCTCCCAGCCCCAGCAGTGACTCCAGTACATGTCTAGGCTTGTTGCAGCCTGTCTCAGCTGACACTCGCAGTGGTGCTGTGGCAGTCCTGCACTTCTCACTTGAGCTTTGAAAAAAGCAGCAATTCGCAGAGCTGGAGGGGGCAAGGGGTAAAGAATTCATCAGCTCTGCAGTCCATTTTAGAGAGGGCACACACAAAACGCAGCTCAGCTGGAATCACTCATCTCCTCATCTGAGCAGATGTGAGGATATCCGGTGACCTTGTTGAAAACAGACTCACCTGGAGAGACTCAGAGGTTTGTACCAAAACCAGAGTTCTTCCACAGAGCAGTTTTCACTTGGTGATTGCAAAATTCTCCTTGCGAGCAAAAAAGTCCTCCTGCAAATAACAGACCACCAGTGGGGTTTCACACAGAGAAGCATTTCTGCTGAAAGGATACACTGAATTTCTGTAGGGCCCGAAACAGGAAGAAAAGGTCTAATACCCAGGAGTCCTGACTCCAATACCTGATAAAGACCATTCCCTCATTACAGGAGGATATAGGTCACCTTTTCAGTATGTTCACAAGACCTGTGGGAGCTGGGGGACAACCAGGCAGCCATCCTGCCCCAGGTATCAAAACACCACTTTGCACAGGGTTTGGTGTAATTCTGTAGCCTACTGTAGACCTATTGTCCAGGAGAGAAGTGGCACCAAACCCCAGGGGTTGCCACTGCATGAGTAGTCACAGCCATGTGCCCTAAGATGACAGACAGCTGTGGTGTAAGCAAACCTCTCTCGGCAGGACTGTCTAACTCCAACTTAAAATTGAGCTTCTGTTTCAAGTCAGATTTTCCCCTGATGTGCCTCATCCTGCCCAGAGACAAAAATAGAGAAAGTGAGAAAACAGACCTTTATTACCAACTGCAATCCCCACTGCCCAGCAACCAGCTCTACACTCCATGTTAGCCTTGCATAAAGAGAAAATAATAAAACCCAACAACCCGCACTACCCACAGAATAAAATACACACAGCATAAGCCTTTATACAGATCAGGCAGCAATCACCATGTGTCTGCAAGCTAAGCAGAGGAGAGCTGTGGTCCTTGTCCTAGACACTGTCTAACCTCTGTTCCTGCTCTGAGCGTGCTTCAGCGATGCTGGGGCTGGAGGTGAGCACGCTGCAGTCGAATCGTGCTATTAGGTAAGCCGGGGCTGCAGAGTCAGGTCTCCTCTCTGTTCTGCTAAATAGGATGATCGTTTTCCAAGATTCCTCACTTCTCACCTATACATAGCAGGCCACTTGTAATTTTTCTTTTTTTTTTTTTTTTACATTTTCCTGCTGGAAAAGAAAACAAAAGGTAGTGGATACAGTGATGACTATAATGAAACAGTTACATTGGGATTAAATTGCCAGCCTGCGTACAGTTGTGGTAGGGAACATGAGAAGGACTGCAGCCTGCTGTTGGCATTGCCTACCATAATTACTCCTAACCAAATCATGGTCACACCCTGTTCCATACAACGCTTTGGATTTCCAGATTCAAACAGATCTCAGACAGATATGGGGCCTGTTTCTATCCCTCCCTATGTCTATAGCAAGACTTCAGGGGTCTAAAGTCCACACAGGATTGCTTATGCAAACGTGGTATTTAACAAATGATTTGGATGAGCCAAGGTAAACAGGCAATGCAGACACCATGGAAAGCAAAGGTGCAGTTTTAACTGAAGGAGCACATTATGCCTTCACATTATTTTATGAGGAACACATTAGCTCTGAGGGAAAAGTGTAAGGAGACAAATCTCAAGTCATTACAACAAGGCCTGGTCACTATTAGGAGATATATGAATACCTCTGCAGTCCACCAGAGATACCCACCTTCTCCCCCCATCCAGACTTCAGGGACTTTTACCCACGAAGTGCGGGCAAAAACATCTTTAACTGTCTTCCATGCCTTATTATCTCCCATTTCTCTCTGCCTGGCAGTAGGGGGGTTCTGTTCCCATTCCCAAGGCAGCACTGCAGTCTCTGACCCTGCAGCTCCCTGGATGCAGCAGGGAAGCAAGTGAATAAACGTGAGAGCAGCACGGCCCCCCCCCCCCGCACATCCCTGGGGACAGACCAGCACCCCAGGGCTGGGCAGTCACTGTGACGCTGGAGCCCAAGAGTCTGGGCTCCAGGGAACACGTTCAACCTCTGGCATATAACCCTGCAACATGATCTCCATCATTTCCATGTGGGGCATCCCCTTCCGCCTGCTGTGCTGCCCACCATGGGCACCAACTGAACCCACCTGCTGCGAGATGTTAGTTGGTCAACTATAGTCTGCTAACATGAATTTATATGCAGTTTTGGGGGATGCTAAGAGGCCGTCACAACCCTGCCCGCCTAGGGCAGGCAGGATTTGCGGGAAGAAAGCCTTCTGAAGCTGCTGCAATGAGAGGCCACAGTTTAGTCAAGCACGGACCCCCAGGACCACTCCCAAAACCGGCAGTAACAATCCAGTTAGGAATTTGAAAGCCAGTGAGGATCTTCCCACAAGCAGGCCAGCACTTTGGCAGATGGGGGCAGGAGGGCCAGGGCGGCACACAAACACGAGCTCTCATAACGCCATAAAGAGCTTCTGTTTCCCAACA